TGTTGTGTGTATTTGAAACTTCTCAGCAACACTGCTTGTAAAATGCACTATCATCAGCTGAAAGCCACACAGGTAAAGTAATATATACACTGTTTCCTTATGACAGGGGCAGGTTCATAGCCCAAAATATGCATAATATCAAAAGTAAAGGGATAGCTGAGTTGTGGCCACAGGTCATGTTTCCTCTTAGGCAAAAAAGAGCAGTTGGTACTTACTCTTGTTAAATGCTATGGCCAAACCCTTATAAAGAAATTCATTTTTCATCCACCTTAGTTCTCCCCTGGTGATGTAATAAAAAAAACATTTTAATCATAGAATACTAGGTTGGAAAGAGATCTCAAGGATGATCTGGTCCAACCTTTCCTGGCAAAAGCATGGTCCCAGATGGGCCAGCAGCTGTTCAGCTGAATCTTAGAATTGTCCAACACTGGGGAATCATCACTTCCTGGGGAGATTGTTTTACTGGTGATTATTTTCATTGTGAAAAATGTTCCTCTTGTGTACAAGCAGAATCGCCCCAGAAGTAAATTGATTTCAGAATTTTGTCCAGAGACATGTAGGTACTGGGTAATACTACAGCTGAAACTTGAGAAAGAAGTATTTTTCACTTTTTTTCAGTATTCTCACAAGTAGAGGACAGTAATATACTGTATGCTATGGATTCAAACTTGATGCTACAATTTAAAAGTTACTTTTTCTTCTACAGATCATCCAAACGTCTTTACTATGCCTGAAGCAGATATGAAGAGAATTTTGTGGGTGTTATCCCTTCCTATTATCACATTACTCTATTTAACTATACCAGATTGCAGAAGACAGTTTTGGAGGAACTGGTTCATGGTGACATTTTTAATTTCAGCAGCATGGATTTCTGCAATAACTTATGTTCTTGTATGGATGGTAACAATAGCAGGTAGGTACCTAAAGTGGTGTTGCTACACCAGTCAAGAATCACTGAAAGAGTTGTGTGGTTTCTCTGTGAGGTCCTTGTGAGGTTTCCCTTTAAAAGTCAGTTTAGCAACTCAGAGTGTGCTGTAAAAAAACACAACAAAGGAAAACAACAGAAACTTATGTTTGACTGCTCAGTTTACCACCCTCTTCTATCCAATTGAGGAACACTTTGTAGAGTTTAGCTGCTTCACACTGCTTACCATCACCTGAATGAGATCTCCATGTCACTACAAAAAAACCCGGTCTATTTTTAAAAATAGAGTTTCACTAAACCGCTTCATTAAGCAAAATAATTGGACACACAACAATAAACTTGTCATGCTGAAGACTGACAAACATGAAATCCCCTAAGACTGGAATTAGAGGTCAAAGCTTTTGGAAAAAATCCATAATTTCTATACCTGTGTTTTTCACAAATGTTACAGTAAGAGATTTGGCATTAAATTCACTGCCAAAAAACTTCTCAAATGCGTTTATTAAATATTCTCGGAGTTTGTATATGTGGACCTCTTACAAATCTGCATCATAAAGTGGGGCACTAAAAGGATTGCATTTAAGTGAGAGAAGGGGCATGAACTTATATGTAAAAACCGTCTCCTAAAAGTACTTTGAGGTATTAAAGGTCTCCTCATTTCATTGTTTCTCCAGTCAGCTTGAAAGACATCCAGTTTTTATATTTAAGAACAAGCAGAAAATGAAACAAACTCTACAGAAATTTTTCAAAGCTTGCCATTTTCACATTATAGCTCACTAATCCTACCTAAGCATTCTACTAGTTCAGATATGAATAACTCCTTGTTCAGTGCAGGAACAGACCTACACATTCAGTAAACCTTTGAGAAATCACTAGTAGATCACTGGATATTATACCCACCATGTTAACCCCTTGGTTAAATAATTTTCCACTTGTACCCAAAGAGCAAGGGTTCACTGTCTGGATGCTAGAAACCTTTGAAACAGGATTCAAGTCAACATTATTGCTGTTCTACAAGACAAAGCATTAATTCATATGAAAGTAGGTATGGTGGAGATTCAGAGAGTGTATTAGTTCATTTTCAAGAGTCATCACAGCTAGTACTGGGGTCTTCAGCCCACTACTTCTAGGTAAATTATATTCTATTTACATGTTAAAACACTACAAGTTAAACACACAATATATTCAAGTCCAGGCTCTCATGAAGGTTGAGAACTCAAAGGTTCTATCATTGCATAATCAGTCTACTAGAATGTCACAAAAGTATCACAGCTGGGCACTAAACTGGGATGGTCAAGAACAAACCTAATTTAGTACATCTTTCTGTTGCTGGCAAAGAAAATTTGACTACTTATAGCAACACATTGCTACTGATACACAAAATTAACAAAAGCCTAGAAAAATAAGACTTTTCTGGTCAGTTGCTAGAAAATAAACCACTACATATGAAATAGAAGATAAATCTATCTAATAAAATGAAAAATTAGCTTCTCCTGAGTTTATATTTTGTCTTATAACCTTCAGAGGGCTAGAAACTAATGTTGGGTACATAAGGCTGGTTCATTCATATTTCACCTTGGTTTGAACCATTATTTTCCAGCCTGGATGGTTTATAAAAGCTGATTTGTTGGTCCCTCATCCTACAAATCTATTAGAACTGATGGAAGGATAAAGAGAGTACAAATTCTGCAACAAGATCATGTTAGTACCTCTGAAATCAACAAACAGTTTCAAACATAAATTTACTGGGCTGCTCTAGACTAAGCTGGTAAGTAATAGACAAGCATTGCTGACCTAGCTTAGCGTACTGCCTCTTACATAAATAAAATTGCTCTTATTAAATATGTCAAAATATTTCATGTAAGAACTCAGATTTCAACAATAAAAATATTAAGATACTTTTTAGTGAAAAAAATGTTTAAGAAAAAGTAATTACTTTGTAGCTTGACTAGAGGTATCAAATACTTCAGCATATTGATGCATCTGAATGGTACAACTGCTGAAACAGTTTTGAAGAATCTAAGAATTTAAGTTAGAAATTAATATGGCTACAGGACATTTGGGGCTAAGAAAAATAGAGATTAGGGAAAAATAAGCCGCCCTTCTAATAACAGTTTAAAACTTTTAATTTAAATGAGTATTTGCCTAAAGGAATTCACACTTCTAAGGGGTTACTTGTACTTACAAGTCATATAAAAATTCTGCACTTTGATTCTTCCAAATCACTTTCTAATGGTAAAGGCATGTAGTTGAGACAGTATTCTCATAATGTCTTAATGACTGTCCTTCCCAAGAAAATTGATGTGCTTTTTCCCCTCCCCCTGAGGGGATTAAAAAGAATGATTATAAGAGTTATTGCTTCATGAGACTTTTGAACACTAACAAGGAGATGCCCAAAACTCTAAGAGACTATAGTATTTTCTAGAAGTTGAGGGGACCAAAAAAAGAGTAGTAATTTGTTAGACATTTAAACTTCTACTTTATCTGCAAGAAAAAAATCGTAATTGCTACTGTCTTGACCACTGCAGACTTGAAGAACAAGGAAAGGATATTTGTTGTTACTCTTTGTTTTAACTGCTTTGTGGTTCAGTCACCTCACATGTAGTTAAGTTAGCTGATACATTCCATATGAAATTACTGTATGATTATTGATTCTTTCTCCAGCAAACAAAGTCCAAAGCACTTTCAATGGATGAGCCCTAAGTAAAACCACACTTGCATTTTCTACCTTTATTTCTCAACTGCAGGTGAAACGCTGGGAATCCCAGAGTCAGTCATGGGTCTCACATTACTTGCAGCAGGAACCAGTGTACCAGATACAGTTGCAAGTGTGCTGGTAGCTCGAAAAGGTAAAGATTTAGTATTTAGGCTCATGCCAATGGATGTGTTTAAAAGGTACTACAAAAAGAAAAAATTCTAGTCAATATTTTGATAAATTCAAGGACTAACCTCAAAATCCGTGCTCCACATTCTAGAGCTTAAGTTTACTAAAAATAAATAAATAGCTTACCTGAAAAAGCTGTGGCTCAGACATTTAAAAACTTCTCAGAGTATCTCAGAGAAGTATTCTAGATTGGTTTATTTGTTGTTGATTACGTATTACAGTTTTACTGCAGAACACAGCTGTAGATCTCAGTATTTTAAACACAACTGGACTTTATAATAGCCTGTCTAGCTTAACTTTAAGTGCAACTGTGCAGATGCTGGTGATTTAGGGAGACTTTTTATGGTTGTGGTACCCATGTTCTGTAGAATCGTGACTATAACTCTTCCAATGCAAAATCTGAAAAGGGTGCTCTGTGAGAAACTGAGGGCTGGCAGTCTGTTCCTCCAAAACAGTTTGCAAATTTCTTGCAATACAATTAAGCCAACTTATTTGTATTTCTTCTTTTACAGGAAATGGAGATATGGCTATGTCTAACATCGTAGGATCCAATGTATTTGATATGCTCTGTTTGGGAATACCCTGGTTTATAAAAACTGCCTTCATAAATACATCAGGACCCATAGAAGTGAACAGCAGTGGTCTGACATACACAGCCATTTCTCTTATCTGTTCTGTTGGTTTTATTTTTCTGGCAGTTCACCTGAATGGCTGGAAAATAGATAAAAAATTGGGAACAATTTGTCTTGTCCTGTACTTAGTATTTACTGTATTATCAATTTTATATGAACTTGGCATCATAGGAAACAATCCTACAAGGGTCTGTGGTAACTAGTTTTAATCAGTGATTATGCTGATGAAAAAAATAAAAGCAGGAGAAAAAGATCAGTTTCTTCATTTAGTCAAAATAAAATTTAAAAAACCAACTCCGAACTCCCATTGGGCTCTAAATCTTATATACAGAACTAAGTTATGTCATTAAAGTAATATTAAGTAGAACAAAAACATCACAGCCTAATTGGAGCCCTTTCTTTTAGAGTCAAGAATTACAGTATGACTACAACGCACATATAAAACCAAAATCCTGAAAAAGACATCTACTTCTTACATTAGTGTTGATACACACATTTGGCGGGGGGAAAAAAAAAAGATCAGAAAACACTAAATAAATCCCACTATGCAATCTGGAGATTAACAGAGAAAATGGCTTATTTTATTAAAAACAGTATAACCATTCATTTAAACTGAATGACTAGAGACACTTGGCCTAATTTTCCAAAGGCACTGAGCATCCAAAGCATCCCCGGTCTATAGGGACCTGCAGGTGCTCAGTGCCTTTAAAAAAACAACAAAAATCAGGCGAATTGTCTTTAAAAACCAAACATAGTAAGATTCAGTTAACAAGTATCACAGTATATTAAACACTATACTGTTAAAGGCTGGTGGGATTTAAAAGTTCCTTTTTACAGCTTTTGTAAGCATACAATGTTACTAAAAATGACTTACTAAGACAGAGAAGCTAAACAGACAGAGGAATGTTCCTGAACACACAGTTTTAAATTATGCATTGCGATCCAAGCGGACATCAATTTCTCTGCCACTGATTTTTATGCCGTTCATTATCCTACAGGCCTTTTCAGCAGATTCTGGTGAGTCAAATCTGACTGTTCCACAGCCCTTTGATTTTCCATTCTCCATTTTTATTTCTGCAAACATTACATGACCTGAATAAATAAGTTAAACAGCAGTTATTTCAAGTCCTCAGTGTACTAACAACTTAAAGAACTTAGAAGTAATAAAAAACCATTTTTAAGTATAATCTAGGGGATCATTTGAAATTGGCACTTTCAGACTGATGGTACATTCACTCATTCAGGCAAGGTGACACGGGACAGCAGGAAAGAATCCAAGTCCAGATCCACTATCTCGAATCTTTCCTGTATTTGACCTCAAGTTTGAAACAAAGTGCCCTGTAAGACTCAGGGAAAGGTTTGTTTTTCATACTGATAGAAGTGTGAGTATTGATAGGCATTAACCGAACTGTAGCTTAATCCAGTCCACCCTGTTCATCACAAAAACCTACCAAGCAATAGTCACAAACAGGCAATTTTGGTAAGAAGCTGCAGAGCAAAATTAAAGCCTTTAAAACTATAATAAAGTTACCAGGCTGGGCGTGGTTCAAAAGTACCATACACTATCCAGTTCCTGCTGAGCTTCCTTGAGGATGGACATTCAACTCACAAGGTAATATTTTTATAAAGATCTACTGCTGAGAATGTTCAGTTCCCTGGAGCTAATGAGTTTTTGCTTATGGCATATTGTACCACACCCCTCCTAAGCCCCTGAATGTCACTAGGAACAAAAAATTTTTCCCTGAAATACAAAGCCTTTTATTTTTAAATATCATGTAAAACTGTCCTTTCACTGAAAAAAACTGAACACTGGGAAACAGTCTTTGTATTTCTTTATGATACTGACATGAACACAATCTGTTGCTTATAATTCTTAAAAGCAATTGAACATAACTACTACATCTATTAGCCGACAGAGATAATGAAAAAAAATTCTGAGCTATCTGGAAGTTGCCCAAGAGGTTAAGACTTAAAAAAAAGAAAGAACCTGTTGTGCTATATCCTCCATCTACAAAGAAAACATCAACAACTTGTAATTTTTCATAATTGAACTGCATTTGATTTATATCAAATCTGTAAACATCTGTATGATGAGTGTCTCAGGCATCAGTAGTGTGTTTTAAATTATCTCTTCCGTCTACCCAAAATAAGAAGTCATCCTCTAATTCAGTTAAAGCTCTCTGTTCTGAAAATGTCTTTTCAAAACATGTCATGTATTTTGACACTCAAGCTTTATTTTTCGCTTATTTCTCTGAAAAGACCAACTTTTCTGAATTAGATAAAACCAATTATTTAATGTTTGGTACAAAAATTTATTTCTTAAGATAAAGGGGACATCACAGCCTGCAAATACGCTAATCAGGATCACCTAGATGTATAAAACCTGTAATACTGCACTGGCAAAACTACTAACTGATTTGATGCAGCACCGTTTCTAAAGTAATGCAGGACCTGGACACATACAAGCTCCTGCACATATTTAACTCATAGGAAACACTACATTATATACTTTTCCTGGCCAGGGAACACGTCAGAAAAAAAAAAAAAAAATCAAAGAGTAATTTTATTAAAGGAATAGGTTCAAGGTTATAGCAAGTGAGCACTCAGAGCCAACAAAGCCCATAATGTACCTTGGTCTTGTGTTCTTTCATGCCTAAAAAATATTTATATAACTCAAGAATGCTGGGTGAAACAAGAAAAATAAATCTAGCCAGACTCTTCTTCAGAGTCAGACAACAGTCTTCCTGTGGTTATCTAATAAACACCACGTAACACATGAAGTCCATGGAGACGAACAGGGGTAAAGCTCATATACATACCACATTGACTGAATTTCTCCTTTAGCTTCTGCCAGGTCAAGTCAAAAGGAAGCTAAAATAAAAAAGTATTATTGATAACAAAATATTACAACGAGAATAAGAGCAGGTAATCAAACATACACACAAAATAAGCTTGTGGTTCCTATATATTTAATTGCTTACATTTCTCACAAATATCTGGTTGCCTTTAGAGCCTAATCTCTCTCTCATGCCACCTCCCATGGGGCCAGGCCCAAATCCTCGATCGATGTCCATGTTCCTGTCCAGGCCTCCACCCATGGCAGGTCCCATTCGATCAAAACCGGAACCCATCCGATCCATTCCCATTCCTCCAGCCATATTGTTCATACCACCCATGCCACCACCTACACAGAGAAAGAAATGGAGGATAAAATAAAATCTTCTTTTAGTAATAAACACACAGGTATTCGGTATAAAATAAAGTTCTTTTTTCAGGAGAAGAATAACTTTATTAAAACTGCTGTAATATAAACCATAACTTTTATACATGCACAGTGATTTATCAAGGAGAATGGCTAGTATTTTAAGACAAAGTATTATACAAGATATAGAGTGTCAGTTCTAAAATAGTAAAACAAAACTGCATCAAGCTATTAGTCATACCATCCAATGTAGCAAAATGTTGAACACAAGAATTCAAAGTCTGTCTTGTTTAATTAAAAAAAATATGACACCCTTTACCAAAAAGATCAAATACATAACTGTGGCGATGCTTAGATACAGATAATTTGACCAGATATATTATTGTTTATTTGGCTTCCTTCATTTATATTCAGCTTAACTTAATGCAGCCATACCCACAAATAATGACAAAATCTTCTAGAGAAGGCTTTTTTTTTTTTTGCCAAGAACAGAAGTTACCGCAAGTACTGTAAAGAGCATGAACTTTCCTATGTGTCATGGTTCAAACCCCAACAAAAAGTACATACATGGAATAAAATGTATTAATTTATTTATACAAGTAACTAAGAGTAATAGCATTCAAATACTATAATATTTCTGGATTCATAATTAAAAATTAATGTACAGTAAAATGATCAAGATCATTCATGAGGGACCCTCTCTTCAAGCCTTATGCTTTCTAAGATTGGCACTAGCAAGATTTTAGTTTCTCATCTGCTCTAGCATGAGGAAATCAGAGAGCTGGTGCAGTACAAACTCAGTATTGGAGCTTTGCACAAAATTAAACTGGAGGATAATCTGAAATTCAATGATTTTTTATTTCAGTGATGACAGATTACTGAGGTTCAGCTTCATGAAGTTTACTCAAATAACTGCCTGTCTTTCTTTCTGAAACACAAATTTACTTTAATCACTTCTCCCTCCAAACTAGAAGTTGAAACGATTCCAAATCTGAGATTTAGGGAAAGACTGTATTAGCTAGTTTTCCTCTGAACTTTTACCTCAACAACACAGCTTTGAAAACTGTTAGACTTGTCACATGCAACTGAGTTCTACTTCCCTCAACAGCAAGACACTACACTACAGCAAGTTCCTCTGATACAAGTAGGTGTACATGGTATTGTTACATTGCCTACGCATTTATGTTCTATTGAAACAAGTTAACCTACTCATTCCAGATCTTATTGGGCCCATGCTAGGTGCTCCCATTCCTCCTGCAAAAACACCAATCATTGCACCACCTAAACAGAGAAAAATAATGAAGTGACATACACTGAAACCACCAGTTAGTGAAAAAAAACAAAGCACACGCTAATGAAGTGCACTATTCTCAATGTTCCCTGGCAATGTTTTTTCTATAGGGGCACTTTAGCATGTGCCTTTACTATCCAAACTAAACAGGAACACCTTGTAAGTAAAGTTAGTCTCTCCTTTTCTACTACAGGACTTAAGCTACTCTGATTTCTTTCTAGCTTTTCTCCCCTCTGACAGCCTGCCAGCAGCACAAACATGGTAAAACTAAATGGGTCATTTCCCACATTGGGAAAAACAACCTCAAAATTCCATGCTTCATCTTATATGAACTTGACAGTATAAAAAGTCCATAATTCTGCTGCAAATCAAACATCCTCAATTCTACTCTGATACTATAGCCCTATCAAAGACACCTTCCTTGATTTCACGGTTACTAAAACCAAATGCCTTCACAGTATTTATTTTTAAGATACCATTAACCTAAATACTGTAATAGGAGTACATCAGGGCCTTCCCTGATCAAACACAGGATCTGTTAAAAGTCCCTACAATTTCCTTCCATTATTTAAGGTGAAGCTGGGAATCTCTAATCTTAGTTCTCAGGACACTATTCAAATGGACAGATCACTGATAGTTTGTAAATTGAAGCTTGCTGGATCCACTGAACGAAAGACACCCACATCAGTTTCTCGCCGTGGCCATGTTCATGAATTTTTCAACCAACATGTTACCACCAGAAGACTCAAAACCCTACTGCTTGCAGAAACATTTATAACTTAAGTGGCCTTGCATTTTCACTCAGGAAACAGATGTTTATGCAAGTAGCCAGAGTGAAGGCATACACTTGATTTCTAAGACATTCATTCCAAGGCATTAAGACCAGCTCAAAGGACAAGCTTATTATGTTCTTACCACTTCTACACAATTATCACTACTGAAGAGAAGCACACAACAGTTACCCTTTGCTATGACTTGCCTCATCTAATAAAAATATTTTTTAAAAAATCAACTTTTAGACCAGATGAACCTTATGCTCTTAGGAGTTCTTCTCTTCCAAGGAAGTGAATTAAGGGAATGGAAAAGTACAAGAAACAGGGAAGAGGAAGAAAGCTGTCTCCTATAATACATTTTGTGCTCAGTTTCAGGCCCCTTACAACAAGAAAGACATAGAGGTACTGGAGCGTGTCCAGAAAAGGGCAACACAGCTGATCAAGGCTCTGGAGCACAAGCCTTGTGAGGAATGGCTGAGGGAGCTGGGGTGCTCAGCCTGGAGAGGAAGAGACTCAGGGAGGACCTTTCTGCTCACTGTAACTATCTTAAAGAAGGTTGCAGAGACATAGGGTCAGTCTCTTCCACCAAGTAAAAAGCAAAACAACAAGAGGAAATGGCCTCAAGTTAAACCAAGGAGGTTCAGATTGGATATCAGAAAAAATGCTTCACAGGAAGAGTTGTCAATCATACGAACAGACTGATCAAGGAAGTGGTGGCATCACCATCCCTGGAGGGATTTAAAAGACATGTACACGTGGCTCTTGGTAACCTGGTTTAGTGGCAGACTTGTCAGTGTTGGGTTAAAGGCTGGACTCGGTGATCTTTTTCAACCTGAGGGATTCTGTGATTCATCCAGGTAACAGCATAGAAACAAAAGGCAAGAAGGCTCTTTTGTTGAGCCCTTCCATGCCTTTGAAGATGGAAGAGTAACTCATTCGAGGGAACCCCACTGCCAACAAGACATCATCTATTAACAAAATAATCCTGGCTCAGTTACAGAAGAGGCCAATACATACCATTCTGAGCTACAGGAGCTCAGAAGGTAGGAGAAAAACTGAAAGCACCAGAATTCAACACTCCTGTCCAATGTGACCTGATCTGCAGTAGAAACAGTCTTACACCATGCATTTGCAGAACAGGCTCATGGAAGTTACAAAGGCTGTACATGGACACCTTGATCAGGATTATCAGAAGCATATACTTCAACACCCCAAAGATTTAATATGCCACAAAACATACAGTATGAAGGTAAATGCTTTCCTTGAACAGCTATTCCATACATATTTTACAGAGGGAAAAAAACCCTCCACACCTGAACCCCTGTCTTAAGTGGTGACTGTAATGAACATTCAGATTATATCCTTACAGCAATGACTGGGGGAGAAGAGACAGAAGATGACTAAATGAAACCAGGTCTCCTTCTAGCAAAATTCTTCCAATACTATGTCACAGAAAATTTAACAAGTTACCATACCCATCCTTCCAAAAGACTCTCCAAAACCACGGTTCAATGCCATGTCACCACGGCCAAATTCTCTTTCCATGTTTCCTCCCATTCCACCACGGAACATTTCTGTAAAGAACGAAGCAAAAAACCAGGAATGTTCTGTTATTTACATCTAAGTTGATGCTCCTACAACACTTGTTTCACAGCCGCTTGTTTAAACAGAAGTGAGTCTAATGCACAAGTCAGAGGCACCTATTACACACTCAACTATCCTACAAGTTCCTAGGCCTCCACTCATGCAACTACTTCCTTTGAACTCATTTATACTGCCCACCCCTAAATGGAGAGCTTTCAATAAATAAATATCAGCAACTCATAGGTGTACAGGAACGGTGTTCAACTACCTCCCATTCTGTTGACTCCAAATCCTCCCATGTTAGGCATTCCTTCCATTCCACGAAATCCAGGAAGCCCTGCAAAATAAGGAAAAGTGTTTTCTATACAGTATTAAAGAAAAATCTAATGCAAAAAACTTCATTGCACGTACCGCCTCCCATTCTACTCATTCCACCAAATCCTGGGCCGTCTATTCCCATACCTTTAAACCAAAAAGATAAAGAACACTTAGTACACCCTAATGAATTTTTAAAAAGTCAGAGTTAAAACCTCAAAAGCACACTAGACAAGGCTTGCTTTGTCAAAAGTCTGTCATTTTTGCAAACACAGAAATTACAATTTTAAACTTTAAAATTTTTAAATGAGCTTTGTATAACTTAAAAATTAAGACTATGGATTTACCTCCTGGACCCATGCTCCCCATTCCACCACCCATGCTCAGCTGTGTTGCACTGATGGGCTGTCCACCTGGTCCAAGTCCCATACCAATGCCACCAAGACCACCTCAAAAACAAAGAAAAGTAAGTATGATCAGAAGAGAGACCTTCCTCTGTATCACAGAGACCACAGTCAGCAAAATTACTGCTAAACTGTGCAAAACCACAGATCACCATATACTAAGCGCAAGGAGCAGAAAACAGAGCAGGCACTCACGAGGTAATTGTGAACTTTTGCTGTCCACAACACGGAAGTCTTCATGAGGAACTGATTTGTCATCCTGACAAAAAACAAGGATGTTATGCTATGATCCCTTCAATGTTTTGGCAGAGACATGCAAGTAGAAAGAAATGAAAGCAACTTACCATTTTAACATGCATGGGTCTATCAAACAGGAATTGTCCATTGAACATAGCTGAAGAAATGCAAGTCAAGGAGTCTTAAAAAGGCAATTTAACTGTTTCTGAAGAATCAATGTAATAACTTTAAAAAAAAATTAAATTTTTGTACAATTACCATGAGTCTTATCTTTCCCTACCTTAGCTTTAGAAACCCAATTCAAGGGCCAGAAGATGCAATACAAGCTGTTAGGTACACTGAAGTTAGTTTCACAATCGTCACACCGCCAGGTATTTTAATTTTGTTCAACATCATGAGGAATTTTTAGAATTTAGCAGTAAATTCAGGTATTACAAATGTAATCTGCACAGTATTCACTCTAGTCTCTATAGGGTAGCTACAAAGGCAAATAAGCACCATTTGCAAAACTACGCTGCCAGAACCATTAAAGATTAATCAATATATGATCAATTATTTTTGAAAACCAAAACCAAGGATACATATTGCTTGAACAGCTTCAATTGCTTGTTCAAAGGTAACTGTCCCCATTCCTCGACTCTTGCCATCTTTATCTTCTTTGATGTCTGCACGCTTCACAGTTCCAGCAATGCTGAATACCTCCTTCAGTTTCTTCCAGCCAACTTTGAAGTCAAGCTTAAACACAGAAATACATCAGTGATTTCATTGCACATCTCTATTCTGCTATTACATTTGGAAGAGATTTTCTGCATTGCTGTTAACTCTTCATTGACAAAATGCTTGATAATTGTAAATAGATGAGATTTTGTAATATATGCACACTGTGTCAAAGTCCAAAAAGTCACCAATTGTACATGTATGACACGTATGTACATGTATGCACAATATGTACATGTATTTTACTCTAATTAACATACTACCATTGGGCTGGTTCTTGAGAAGAGTAGCTGTAATTCCACAAGACCTCATATAAATACAGTAGTCTTTTGTGCTAATAAAGAACTCAAACCACTGTATTTGTTGGAACCTTATCGTGTTAGTCTAAAGTAACCAGCAAGATAAACTGAAGTAAACTGATGTATACATTTAATAAAAAAGAAATGCAATTGTAAATAGTGAAAAATGCATTAAATATTTTTGAATCAACAGATGACTGCAATAATTAGAAGTCCATGTCAGTCTCAAGAGTTCAGTGTATCCTTCCACGTCCAAAATCTGAACACATACCCAACATTTTCAATTAAATATACTAACTGTGAACTATTTCAACCTCCTCTTTATATTAAATCTGAACTACACAGGTATAAGACGTGTCACAAAGATCAAGATCAAGCACTAAAGTTATAAAATACAGTTTTAAGCTTACATTGGCAACAAAAATCGTGGATCCGAGCCTGCCTGCTTGCAGATTACTGATAACCTCAGGAGGAATGTTTGGATTATTGAGAATAGAAGGTGGTAAATTCATCATTCCAGGTGCTGCATCAGGTCCATGTCCTCCTGGAAACTGCCCTCCTCCCCGCTGCAGTGCCCTACGAGCATGTTCCCCTTCAGGATCCTGAAATGTGGGCACAAACAAAGCCACTTAACCATCAACAACTGGACTGGCAACAAACAAAATGGTACTATTTGAAATTCTGCACAAACCCATCAAAATTATCAACTAATAAATACGCTTGTCCATGTCAGAGGGATCATGAACTGAATTAGCATGGAGACCTAATTCCCTCACCTCTAAAGGTGGGTCCTTTCAGATGAGGGTTGAGGCATATTGGCAAAGCACTTGTTGAGGAAGCGTGCACTGCCACTTCACATGCTGTACCTAGCCTATGGACAAGTAGAAAAGATTTCAAGCTAAAGGACTGTCAGTCTAGCACTTTCTTCCAAGAATTGAATTAATTTAATTAGGTGGTGGTTTTGTATTATTTATTAATACCATTATTAAAATTGTAACAGGACAGGAAGAACTGCATCAGATACCATCATATACTACAGCACTACAATAGAAATGTTGACATTATTTCATTTTCTGGACAGCACAACTTCTCTATTTCCAGCCCCATCTTTGCACATATGTAGTGGTCTAATAATTAGCTCATTCTGTGTCGTATTTTGAAGCAGGTAAGCAATGTAAACATAGATTACCTACACTGGAAAAACCCTAAGGTAAGAATATGAAGTAAAGTTGTTTTAATAGCTTTAAACGGCTTTAGACTATTTTGATTTTAGGACATGCTTTTTGTCAATTTACTCGGTATGGTATCCAACCTTCTGCAAGCCAACAGGCAGTTCAGCCCATGAAGAAAATTTTACAAAACATGAATCTGGAAATTGCACATCTAAGATCTCAAAACCCTGTATGGTCATCTCAGTAGCTTTAGTATCTTCACTATTTCAAATTCAAAACAGCAGCAATAAACATACCTCTTTAATATTCAGGGGTCTTCCGCTAAGATCATATTTGTTCATAGTGTCTAATGCCTTCTTAACAAATTCTTCATCTTTGAATTCAACCACACTTAGAAAGAGATCAAAACATTTAGAATGTTAAAATAAAGTTTAACATGTCAAAAGTAATAGAATGCTTGGATAGCAGTGTGCTTCTACACACATAAAAAAAGAAACTTACCCACAACCCTATATCCACGAGATTTGTCATCACATGTAAAGAGAAAACAAGCAAGAAAAAAAAGAAGTCAGCACATATGACAGACCAATGAAGATTCCAGTTAAAGATCCCAGCTCACTGTTAAGTAACTACACAAGTTATTTTCAGCTTCAAAATCCAAAATATATGCTCTTTAGTGGTAGCCAATCTGAATTTCGCCTACGTTCTCAGCATACATACCGTTCAAATACAAGAGAATACATTGTCTCTTATGCTCTTTGAGTCAAACCAGAATTGGAAAAATGCCACACAGATCCATGTAAGGACAACTGGGAAGAGGAGGTGGGAGGGAAAGGGTGGAAAGAAAATAACCCCAAAACATAACCAAAAACCAATCAAGACACTCATCATGTCATTAAAAGTTGTCCACTAACTACAAAATTAAAATCTACCTACATCAAGTACACCACTACAAGGAAAAAGCAATCTGCATACCTCTTCAGTACTACAACATAATTGAGAAATTACCTTACAAGAAAATAACCTTATTGACTGCACCAGCATCCTTCTAATCAAGCAAGAGTTGAGGATTTCTTAAAGCATAGCAAAGCTGACAGCATGTTTTAGTTTTAACAAGTATTAAAGAAAATAATTTACAACAATTGATACTACCTCAGTTAAGACTCAAACCTGCATTTCTCACGTTCTCACTGCAGGTTTGGAGCTGCTATTGGCCAAACTTTTGACTATTATTAATAAGACAGAGGAGCTTTAACAATCTTCACTATTTGTGCCTCATTGCAGGCACTCTGTTGGCTACCAACCATCTCCATCCATTTAGTTTTAAGAAAGTAACTACATTAAGCCAGTGTTTTAAAGTACCAATCCTGCAAAGCTGTGAAATCAGGCACTTCACTCAGTATATTCTTAGCTAATATTTTATACTTATTGGCCCCAAGAAGAGCATCCTACACTAACAAAATTTAAATAAAATGATTGGTTTATTGAACATCCTTTACATGAAACAGATTTGTACCAAGACAAAGGTGTTGGCTAAAAAGAAGAATTAAGTAAAAGCCATTTGTTAACATTTACAGAAGTACTTTGCCCCTTACAACCAACTAGTGTGAGTTGCATGAAGGTGTCAGACTACTTCTAATAGAGAATCCTCAAGGCTACCTTAATGAAAATCAGTGTAAAAATGAAACTTACTTTCCAATAACTGGTACAGGTATTATACAAAAATAAAACTGCTGAGGAACTTTTAAACCTCTAGCAGATTGTTGCCCACGGCACTTACCCTTGATTTTCCTTCAGCATCCTTAAACAGCTCCACGTATGTAACCTCACCAACTACATAAGACATACAAAGGGAAAATACCAAGAGACAATGCATTTAAACACCAGCATCTTTCTTTACTGTGCCCCTGTGCACAAGTCTACAGAGAATCACCTATTATTCACCAACAATCAAAACCAGACCAACCATACCTCCTGTCAATGGCTATATAATTTAGCTAATTTTCAGAAATATGCAGCAGCCACATTCTCAAAAGCTAAAAACAAACAACTATATTTAACCTAATTCATACTACAGATCATATTTTGGCCAGTATGATATAGTTGGTGAACAAATTCAGATATACACAGTCCCTTAACCTAACAAATGAAACTTCAATGTTCACTGAAAAGTGTTACATTTATCATCCTACTCACAACACCTGTTTTAAGGTGACTTTCTACCTGAATATCTTCAATCAAAAGTTTGCCTTCAATAATAACCAAATTTACACATCAAATATTTCACAGCAAGCGACTCACTTTCTAAAGTAGGAAGTTTAAGTAAATAAACCAATCAAATAGTCACGTCACCTTACAACAGATAAGCCAGCAGTTACAGAAGGGGGGTCTGGCATTTTGCACAGCCTAAAAGCCAAGTGTGCTTTGCATTACTTTTGAAGAATCAATTTTTCAAGGAAAACACAGAACTAACTTTTTACAAAATCCATATATTATCGTTATTTTACCCCAAATCTGAAATAAATTTTTGGGGTAGTCAGGTTTCTCTATCAGAACTGCAACAATAGGAACAAGCTTTTAATACAAAGCTCCAGACAAACAGTCATGGCAGTAGTGACAATGCAGACAAAGTTAATGCCACAGCCAGATTCCACCAAAGAAATACAAAACAACTTTTGAAAGACATCCCTTATTATTCAGGTTAACACACTTCATGTGTTGCTTAAATACAAAAGCCCTTAGAGAAAAAAAAATCTACAGGAACTACAACTAGACAAAACACAATCTCTTTAAGAACTCATGAGGTCATGCATATACTCTCTACTATCACACCAGAATGGCAGAAGATTTGAGCACTTCATTTACCCAGCCTACCCTGCAATGCAATTGTCTCGGATGAAAGAGGGGGAAGGGAGATAGATGTACCAAGTACAGGCCAAAACAAAAAAAGTCAAACCAAATCTGTGTGGCTCAAAGGACACATGGGTTGCATTTAAGCCCCACTGGTTTCTGTGTGAAGTGTATTACAAGGAGTAAGTTACCTTTCTCTCTCATCAGGTCTTTAATAGCTTGCCATTTCATGTCATACGGGATGTTGCTAATAAAAACTCTATTGCGATTAACAGCCTTCTTGTCTCCAGAGCCTGCATTCTTCTCCTTTGCATAGGGGTGGAATTTATTCTTGCTTCCAAGAGAAGGGATTGCCTTTGCTTTTGCAACAAACTTTTCTTTCACTGGTGCTTTCCCTTCTTTTGCTGTCTCATCATTATCCCTACATTAAAAAACAAAAATCCAAACAAAAACACTGTTAGTCTTGTGTTGGATTAGACTACCCCACTTCCCACCTATATAACTGAGTATTTTCTATGCTATTGGAACTCCCAGGATGTCAAATGCTGCTTTTCAAATTAGGAAAAATAAATTCATGCTATCAGAGTAATTCCAAAATACACTGCTTTAGCAAAAACAAAAAAAATGTTCCAATACTAAGTAAAGAAAGTACATCTTACTAATTCACTAACATTCCATTTCACAGAATCACAGAATCCTAGAATGGTACGGGTGGGAAGGGACCTTAAAGAGCATTTAATTCCAATGGGCAGGGACACCTTTCACTAAATCCCCTTCCTCAGGGCTCCATCCAACTTTTAACACTTCCAGGGATGGGGCATCCACAACTCTGGGCACTCTGTGCCAGCACATACTCTCTGTCAAGACTCAGAAAGATGGAAGTATGAAACTACTACAAAGACCAAAACAGAAAGGGTGGAAAATGACCTCAATACCCACGCCTTGGTGCTTTGGTAATTTTCACACCTCACTTGGACAAGTTACAGGATATTCACCGGAGAAGTGGGAGCAGAAACAGCCTAAGCTGGAGAGTTGAAACAGCTCGTGATGCTTAATTCAATGGAGTAATAATATATCAAAATCAACTCCACTAGGTTTGATATCAAACTATGGGTTTTATTCACAATTTGTCCCAGATTACTGTTAGAAATTAAAATCCAACTAAGAGCAACAAATATTTATTCAATTTCACCGCTTAACACTACTAGAATTTGAAAACTTGTTAAATGCATAGGAAACAGCTGTATTAAGCCATGCTATAAATCTAAGACTAATTAGGTAACTAGGTATTATCCACTAAAAACAACAAAGCAGACACCTGGCCCTCAGCCTTTCAAAACTTCACCAATAGCACCAAAATTCTCCTTTTAAAAATTTTTTTAGATGAAAATGCAAGAAAATTGGCTGCTTTTCTTCCACAGCAGTCCAAATCCCAACTTCAGTAAGATCATACACTTTGAACAGAATTAGAAGAAGTATCTGTAACTCTTCAGCATTCCTGATATTGTTATTATCACAAGGTCATTTAGCATGCCAACAGAGGCTCAAGGAGCCTGAATTGTTACTTTTAAAATGCAGAACTGCTGAACTGAAAGAATCCACTGAATAAAATCACACAAATGTGATCCACTAAACAGATGCTACTTAGCATCTTTAAGTAGACATCACTGTCTACTTAAAGAGAAACTTTAAAAGCACTTTTACAGAAACATGTATTTCAAAAAGCCAGAATCAGCATCTTAATTTAGAACAATTAGAAGGTGATATCCTACAGGACTGACAGAAGTGAATGATTGTGAACCCTGCTTCTTAAATTACATCACTATCTTTACTATAGTTCCTACATTTTAGAAGGCTTAGTTTTTATCTCACTGAGACACTTTGGAAGGTTTCAGGCATTTCAGTTTTACAACCACAACATATGGCAAAACCAGTGACTTTGATTAACTGACAAGTTTTCAGCTCTCTGCATAGTTAACAAAACAGTGAGTAAGTGGCAGTGCTGCACTCAAAAGCACATTCAAGGAGCTTTTCAAGAAGCTAAATGTATTATCTACTCAAGGCTGGACATTTTTCCAGGGAGTACATTTAAATACATCCATACTTCTCCTCTGACTTTTCCCCCAATTTTGAAACACTCACATGGTATTAACTTCACAGTCCTTGTGTTTATATGTGGATTAAGACTGGATTAGCAACTGGGAAATGCACAGATACTCCCCTGGGGCAAGCATTTGTAAAATTTAAAACATCTCAAGTCAACAACATGTTATCTGGTTCAAGCTTTCTCCAAGTCCCTCTGCATCATCCCTCCTCCACACCATCCTATCTGTGTGACAACACAATTCTTGTGTGGCTGTGTAGTCAAGTGAAATGAAGGGAAAAATGCAGGAACTGGAGGGATCCAAGGGAGGAGGCAAAGAGCAGAGTATCAGGTCTTCCAGCCAAATCAGTTCCTTCCAATCCAATCCCATCTGCAAATGCAAAACTCCTGCCCAACAAGACTCCTAGTAAAAATCTGAGTTCTTCCTTAAGTTTTAGGATTAGAGCAATGGATTCTCTTCAGCCTTTTAAGCTCTTTCCTGCTTAAAGGATTATGAAACAGCCCCTTGGTGCTCAGTGCAGGGCACAGGATGAGACAGCTCTCCAAATATGGAATCCAGAGGCTCTGCAAGACCCGGCTGTACAAATCAGCAGAGAGCACAGAAGATACAAGCCTGGCATAAACTCCTAAATCTGGGAAACAAAGCCACACTGCACTTGGTCTGGGAATCACAGCCAGGCTGCTGAAAATAGAGGATTAATTAAAGAAACAATCCTTCTCGCAAAACTCATCTGCCAAAACAGCACAGGCCAGTGACCAGGCGGAGGCAGAAATCCTTTTACAACTCTTATCCTTCTCCTCACACATTAACAATCATTTCAGTCATAAATACATTCAGAGCAAAGCCACATTACTCACCTACAGACCACAGTAAAGACAGACTCAGAAATTATAAACTGACATTTTCATGGGGAAAAACAATAATAATTTCTAATCTTTACCTTTTATGTGAGCTACACATTTCATACATTAAATTAATATTTGCCTGTGAAATCACAGACCATCACTGTTCCTAGAACTGGAAAAAAAGATGTCTACAATTAGTTCTTAAAAAAAAGTGCATATGCTCATTGATTTGAAAGACCAATTATACCTTTTGGAGGAAAAAAACGCTTTTGAACTTTCCATGAAGTTTTGAAGACAAAAGACAAGCAAAACTAGAAGCCTATAAATAATAAGCACAAGATACATCAACATGAAAGCCTTCAAACTTGAATTTTTAAAAGAAACTTCTACTCCTCCTCACAAGTGTCCATAATAAGATAAGCAGACAGAAATGGAAGAAGTTCACAACATGTGATTTCAAAGCACATGGATCATTTTAGCTTTGTTGTGCTGAACAGTTCCACCTCCCAACACAAAAAACTTGGGGAAGTGCGCAAACTGAGTCAGGATTCCTCTCCAGTTTTTAATCAATGCTAAGCAAACCAGGTTAATAATATCCTTTTTCTTTCAAGTAATACATTTCACCCACAGACTGACAGCTTAATCCTTTGTACACCCGTTTGGGGGAAGATTAGAAACTGTATGTGAAAGAATAAGATTTGAATCTCTGTTACCAAGATCCCCCCATTACTTTCAAACTTCAACTTCTACCAGGTAGAATGACTGTGATTTTTCATTCGCTTGTGAGGTTTTGGAGGGAAAAGAAGATACTGTTGACAAGAGGGATACAGAAAAAATACTTCATTTCAACAGTAGCAACCTCAACAGGCAATAAAATTTCTAAGCCGAAAAGAGGCAAGAAGGGTGACAACCATCCTGTGAAAATTCAATTCTAATCTGCGCAGTCTGGAAGCCGAGGGCCAGACTAGGGAAAAAGAAAACAAATCCACAAATTCCATTTTACAGTCAAGTGGAATTTTTAGCTTGTAAAGTAAAATAAAATTTAAAGGGAGTCAAGTAAAGGCATGAAGTACATATTTATTCCTCCAGCTTTATACTGAAGATGATCCCATATGCATTTTTAAACACAATAGTATCAGAGCAGGGCTGCTTAGAACATGTCAAAACTTCACCGACTCCAACAGCTTTGATGTACTGTAAAAGTAAGTCTACTGTAAATGCATTCTGCCTCCAAGATCTGAATGAGATTGGAAGAGATATTGAAATTCCAACGATCTAAGGCCAAAATCTAAAGAGTGACAACCCTCAAAGCCTGACATCAAGAACCACGCACACAAAGTTATTCATGGTATTGTTCCAGAGAGCTGGTATTTCCAGCTCCCTCATACTAAATTCCTTTTAGACCTACTATAAAAGGCACAATTTTACTTACTCCGTGTATGAAAATGTTACTTTCCAAGAAAACTTCATGTATGCATGTGCAGGGTTTGTTTTCAGAAAGTAAATTACTATAGGGCTGTCTTACTATTCTCACGTAAACAAAGACTAGTTCAACGGCTTTACAAATAGCAAGAAGTGGAAACGTAAACGGCACCAGAAGCGATGCGGAACGCTCCTGGAGGGGTATCCCGTGGGAACCGCTCCGCCAGGTACCGGAGCCCGGGGCTCGCAGCCCTGCCCTGCCCTGCGAGGGGGCCTCGCACCGCCCAGCCCTCAGCGGCCGCGGACCAAGAGCCGCCGCCTGCCCCGGGCCCGGGCCGCGGCCTCCCCGAGCTCCCGGGGCGGGAGGGGCCCCCCGGCCCCGCGGAGGAGGAGCCATGGGGGCGGGGGGGTCCGGCCACCTCCTCCCGCCGCCCCCCCAGCCGCGCTGCCCCCGCTGCCCTCCCGGCCCTGCCCTCACACACATTTTGACGCCATTTGCGCTGCCCGCGCCGCTACCGGGTGCCGCGGCCGCCGCCGCCTCCTCATCCTGCGGCGGCTGTTGCGGCGGCTGTTGTTGCGGTGCCGGCTGCTGCTGCTGCTGCGGCGGCGGCGGCGCGGCGCGGCCGCCTCCGCCCTGTCGCTCTCCGCCATCTCGTGCCGGGCCGCGGCCCAGCGACCGCCGGTTTGAAACGGGCCCCGACCGCCTCGGCCTCGCCGCGCCGCGCGTGCCAAGTCTCGCGAGAGTGCCGCTCGCGGCCGGGGGAGGGCACGCGCGCCGAGGCTTTGTGCGTTGCCATGGCGACGCGGGGTCGGGCATGGCCGGCGCTGCGCCTCACAACAGCCGCCTCCGCTGAGACTCTGAATCACCCAATGGCAGAAACAATTCGGGTGGGAAAGACCCTGAGATCTTCAAGTCCACCCTTTAATATAGCACTGCTAAGTACAACACTAAGCCGAGTCCCCAAGTGGCACATCTTAACGTCTTTCAAATCCCTCCTGCAATGGTGACTCCACCACTTCCCCGTGCAGCCTGTGCCTGTGATGGACAACTCGTTTAGTGAAGAAATTTTTCCTAATAGCCAAGCCAAACCTCCTCTGGTGCAAGTTCAGGCCATTTCTTATTACACTATCACGTGTTTCACGGAAGAAGAGACCAACTCCCACCTGGCTACATCCTCCTCTCAGGCAGTCGGAAGCGATAATGTCCCTCCTGAACCTCCTTTTCTCCAGGCTGAACACTCCCTCAGATGTTCCTTACAAGACGTCTGCTCCAGACCCTTGATCAGCTGCCCTTCTCTGGACACACTTCTACACTTCAATGTCCTTCTTGCTGTGAAGGGCCCAAAACTGAACACAGGATTCATTGTGCAACCTCACCAGTGAGAGTAGAGGGGAATGATCGCTGCTATAGTCCTGCTGGCCACACCATTTCTCATTAAAAAATCTTGTATGATCTTGTTCCAAACATTTCAGTACCCTTCTACATTAATAAGATTCCCACATTCATCGTGAACTGAAGGCTCCCAAATGATGAAGGATTTGGACACAAAATCAACGCTTAACCTGTGATGAGACAGCTCAGACCAAATGTAGAATCATAGAATATGCTGAGTGGGAAGGGACTCATCAGGATCATCCAGTCCAACCCCTGGCCCTGCACAAAACTCCCCAAGAGTCACACCATGTGCCCAAGAGCATTGCCCAAACACTTCTGGAACTCTCTCAGGCTTGGTGCTGTGACCACTTCCCCAGGGAGGCTGTTCCAGTGCTCAGCCACCCTCTGGGTGAAAAACCTTCTCCTGATCTGACCTAAACCTCTCCTGACTCAGCTCCGTGCTGTTTCCTCCAGTCCTGTCACGGGTCACCAGAGAGAAGAGATTGGTACCTGCCCTTCCACTTCCCCTTGTGACAGTGTCGAAGATCCCAATGAGGTCTCCCCTCTGACTCCTCCAGGCTGACCAAGTGACCTCAGTCACTCCTCATAAGGCCCCAGACACTCCACCATCTTTGTTGCCTCCTTTGGACACTCTCTAATAAGCAATATTTTTAAAAGAAGAAAAAAGCATCTATCATTTGGACAAAGTTTAATCATTTTACTAACCACAAGTACAAAAACGTTTCTAAAGGGGTAGCCAAATATTATATAAATATCTATTATATAAGGAAAGCCATTCACTCCTCTGCAATGAATTTAGATTGGTGGCTTCTGGTTGCTAACCCACAGACCTGTATTAATGTGGCTTTTGGAAGTAAACTCCTTATGAGCTGCTGGGACTCTGTTTTGTCTGTCCTCATGATTGTCATAGCAGATGTTGGTAACGTGAAATTTTGGAGAAAGCACACAAAGCTACTGCAAAACACCCCAGTAACCTCCATTCCAGATGAAGGTAGAAAGGCATGTCCAGAGGTCTGATAAGAGCTGTAATTCTGTTCACATATTAACCATAATTAGATAAATATCTTGGTATTTGCGATAATAATCACTGATGGAATAGTTAATGTTTACTTGATATTGCTGTCATTACATTTTACAGCGCTCACTTCTTCAGGATGAAGGGGAGTAATTCCCACATTCAAGTTACCAGACCCTCTGATTGTGCTTTGCACAGAGCATCTCAAGTGAGGGAATCCTCCACTCCCTCAAGCGGTATTATGGCACCAAGCAGCTGACACTGAATTCCTGTGCTGAGGGGCCTGTGGATGTAACAGGAGTTGCTGACTTTCTTACACACAGTATGCCCCCTTGTTCTGAATAATCCACTGGCTGTTTCAATTGCTGCCTCCCCATGTTTGTATGCTTTTTGGGCCCGTTGGTCTGGCTGAGGTGAAGTCAGTTTTCCCCAGAGCAGCCCTCAGTGCTGTGCTCTGAAATGGCAGCTGGAAAGGAGTTGGTAACACGTTGGTGTTTGCTGGGACAGCATCACAGCTGTGTCTCCAGCATTCCCCACTCACCAGTGGGCTGAGCGTGGGCAAGATCTTGGGACAGGACATAGCCAGGACAACTGATCCAAACTATCCAAAGGGATATTCCACACCCTTTGGATATGACGTCTGCACAGCAACAAAAGCCAAGAAAAAGGAGAGGCAAGGGCAGGGAGAGAGGGCATTTGTTATGACATTTGTCTTGCAGAGCAACTGCTATATGTACTGCTTCCCAGGAAGTGGCTGGGCATTGCCTGCTGATGGGAAACATTAAATCTGTTTTCCTTGGCTTCTATACACAGTGTTTGCTTTATTCAACTGCCTTTATGTTGATCCATGAGTTTTTTCCATCTTGTTTTCTCCCACCCCATCCTGCTGAAGAGTGCCAGAGCAACTTGGTGGGCACCTGTTGGCCAGCCAGGATCGACCCACCACAGCCCAGTGTACATGGTTTTGTACCAGTAAACTCTGCTGTCACACAATGGGTTTTGCAGTAAATACTCAGAACTGCACAATCCATACACATCCAAAGATGAAGAGGTGTTTTGTATTAAGGCTGCAATGGGGCTAAAAGCCTGGAGGAGTTATGGTAGCTTTGCCCTGTCTCCCTCACACCACAACTCCAATTTAGAGCATTCTGTTCAGCTCAGCTGCCTATGTCAGGATTTTTATGGGAGTCTTGCCTCCTATTCTACAAGTCTCACACACAATCACTCAGTATTTCTGTCTTCAAAGAACAATAATAAAAATGGGAGAGTAATGCCACAAAGAGCTGTTAGGGACCTGACAGGGGTGAACTGAAATTTAAAAGTAGAATTTTTTTGATCTACAAAACTGTGTTGAAAAATATTTAAGTTTTTCCCTAGGAAGACTCTTGAGTATAAAATGATTGAAATAATTATTGTTTTTTAAATCTACCTACCATAGTTAAGTGAAAAAAAGGAAACCATTATCTTTCCATGCCATTTCCTGTGCTGAGAAAGTCTCCTTTGTTACACACTACTGGTCCCTCCTGAGAATATTTTTAAATTATCTTTTGATATATGGGCTTCCAACATCTCTTCTGCCTCTGTTCATGTTCTTACAGGGGACAGACAAGATTTCTGAGGAATGTTCTTACTAAAAGGGGATCCTTCATTTAGTACAACACTGTTACAAGTGTTCTTGATCTCCTGTCCTAACAAATTCCTCTTGTCATTCCCTAATGTAAATAGTGCTTCACAGTTATAGGTAGGGTGTATGGCATAATGGCTGTACAGTCTTGGCAAGCACAGAGTTGACAGGACTAATTTACACACAGAGTTGAGGATCATGGAATGTTATTAATGTTCTTGCATATATATGTAAATATAAGCAACTGCAAAGGAACTACTATTGAAAGCGACTTGTACAAGTCATTACTGAGGTAAAATAATTATGTGTATTTTAAGTATCAGCATTCTTTTCCAAACAATAACTCTCCAGTAAATTCAAGTCTCATGTCCTCAGTGACAAAAAAGGCATAGCATCCAATATGCTAATGAACAAATATGTATCATCATCCTTTTAGAAAGGACTTTAATTAGTCTTTGGTTTATCTCAATATATATTTTTTTTAATTTTGTTTCTGGTTAAGTCATGATCAAAAGCAGTTCATCAATACTTTTATCAAGTGGAACTTGTGAAAAAAAAATCTATGTTGCTGAAAGTCAGTTTGTACAGAACTTCATAAAATGGGAGTTGTGAGCCTCATAGCTTTTAAACCCATTTGACTTTTTTTCATAGATGACTGTTGTCAGTTCTCACCAAATGATGCCTATATGGTAGATATATCTTCTTCTTTTGTATGCCATGGTACCTAAATATGCTTAACATTTTTCAGACCCTGTCCCTTATCCAGGAAGCCCCAAGAACAGCTGGGGAAGGGTTCCTTTAGCAATATATTTGCTTTGTAAATATTTTTTTACTTTCATACCTTATTTAAAGATTCCTTTTTGCACAGACACAAGTATTTCCAGACCAGTCTGCACTGCCTCAGGCTGCACCCAACCTACACTACTTTACTTTGTGCTAAAAAAATAAAACTAACCCTACTCTGCAACTGGCACCCTCTTTTGCCTACTTATAGTGGACCTATAGTAAAGCAAATACTGTTTTCCCCAAAGGCTCTCTTTGCACTTAAGCATTATCTTTCTGGGCTGAGAAACAACATGGTATCAGTCACACAGACCTGCACTACTTGATCTGCAGGGACCTAACTTCTTTGTCCCCCATGGCAGGCTTACATCTCCCTAAGTGTCGTAAAATTTTTTTTCAGTGGTGTGCAACCATTGACCACTGCTTGAGTCTCAGTCTTAATAACCTATTTTTTATCCCTAAAAGGCTGCATAACACGAGGCTTTTGGTAGCGCTTTTACTGTTCCTACACGGAAACAATTCACATTACCCCTCTTCCCCCCGACATTACTCTAGCTGCTGAATTACAAAGGAAAAAACAGAGCAACCTGCTTTTTTGTTGGTCCTTCTTCCACTGTCAGGCTGAGTGCCCCTAACATGCCCACCACCTCTGCCTTTCAAGTGAGGCAGCAAACACCTCCCTCCTGCAGCTCTAAAGGGAACTCATCCTTCCCTTTGCCCTGTCCCCAGCTGGCCTGAGGCTCGCCCCAGTGCCGGGGTGGAAGAGCTGGAGATGCGCCGGGGGCCATCTGCCTCCTCATGGACCAACTCTCCCGTCCCACCCACACAAGGTG